TTACGTTTATTTTTAAAAAATAAAAAAGAGGTTGGTGTTTGTCATTTTAGATGACATAAGTTGTCATTTTAGGAGAGAAATAGATACAGAAAATGAAAATCATGGGAGAGAAAAAGTGAGTGTTTTTTAATTTAAAATTTAAATAAAAAATTTATTCTGTGTCTATTTCTCTTAAAATGACATAACTTTATGTCATTTAAAATGACAAATAATTTTCCTATAACATATAATATAGGTCTCACAATTTCTATCTATATATCATAATTTAACACTTTTTTTACAATATTATATTTCAATTTCCCTATATATCATCATACATTTGAATTGTTTTATTATTTGATAAAATTAGACCCATTACAATTTCTACAAACATATATTCTGATTCTATCATTTATGAGATGATGTCCATTATGAAGATATCTGAGAAGTATTATTTGTTCTAGACGGGTCTTTCAATGTTCTGGACTGACTATTGTTATACATCGCAGGGGTTGAGCTTTTGTATCTTTACTGTCAGGCGGGTGAAGGAAAGCCTGCGCAGAAAGGATCATTATTAACCGATAAGGCTATTATTATATTAACTGAGTTTGATATTATATTACAATTCAAAATATTAAGATATTGGTTATACGGTCCTTTTATTTATATGCATTTTACTCAGCTCATTATTAATTAATGTGTAACTTATCATATTTGAATATTCCAATAATTCTTCTCTCAAGTATGAAATTCAACATTGATATGCTCTCCTCAACCGAGTACTCAGCCCCAAAATACTTAAATCTACCTCCTAGCCAAATACCTGGCTAGCTCAAGCCCAACCCGACTCTGTTATACCACTGTCATGTAGGTCCAAAGGGAGCCCATGACGGGGACAACCACCAATGCTCAAGTGGATGTGATATCATGCCACAACTTAAAACCTTAAGGCTTGGGTTCATAGGTCATCCCACTGACATACATACTTTACTTAGCCAATTACCAATCGATGTGAGACTCGTCACACTTGAATATTTCAATAATCTCCTCTCAAGTGTGAAACCTTACTTTGATATGCTCCTCCTCAACCAAGTACTCAAGTTCAAAGTACTCAACTCGCCTCCTAGCCAAACACATGATTGGCTCAAGTCTAACTCAACAGGCAGGTCCAGGAAAAGTTCGTGGCAAAAGAATCATAATCAATGAGCTAATGCTACACCTCCATATTAAGTGGGTTCAACACTCAGTTACAACTCAGAACCTTAATATATTGGGCTATTGAGCATTTTTTTTTTTGGATATAAGTGAGAATTTAACATATAATGTAATATAAATTACTCAAATCCTTTATCACTGGATCAATCTTAGTGGCTTGGGCAACAGAATATATATAAATATATTACTTTCTTATCATCTAAAAGAAAGTTGTTCGAATTTATGCGTAAACTTAATTAGAACTTGTACGTATATTTTCACTCGTATACAGATCAATTGAGTTGAATATAAATAAAATATAGTAAAATTAAAACCTAATTTAGAAAAAAATTGCTGATTTAACTTGAAAGAAAAAAATTGTTACCAATAAATTAAATGTATGTGTTGATGATATGATATATGTTTTCATTCCTATTATCCGAAAATGGTTTTGTATTGTACAAAAAAAAAGAAATTAGTTTTATAAATTGGAGGAAAAGAAAATATTTTATTTAAAAAAAAAAACACGTATACGTTTTCACTATCAGGTTTCAGTGCAAGATTGCAAGGACTGCTTTAGGGGTTGATTCGTTTTATGATTCGCATGCCCTTGTTTTGGACACAATAAAAACAGTTGGTGTGGATTTACATGCTTCTAGAAGCCCATTTAAGGTAGGTTTTGGGGCTTGGGAGACAAAAAAGCCCGTATATACATATGTACAATACTTGCCTAATTTCTTAATGGGTTTATCATCTATCATTTAACATAACCACAAAAATTTTCCTACATACAAAACATTTTGTGGGGCCCGCAGCAAAAAAAAAAAAAATTTCGACACGCAAAACGAATCTCTATAACATAACACAATCACTTTTTTTACAACATAACTCTTATAAAACCCTTTCTTAATTTATAAATTATAATTACTTCCAGCGATGTTTTTCCGACTAAATTTGAACATTTAACCAATCTACTAGCTACAAGCAGATTTACCGTCACTGATCACCATTTATATATATATAAATAAAGAGAATCATAACCATTCAAAGGTGAATCAATTAATATAAGAAAATAAATAAATAAAACGACGTCGTTTTGGGATGGTCGGAGATAAATTTATCTCAAGTCACCGGAAAATATTTTTCCATATATATATATATATATATATATATATATATATATATATATATATATATATATATATATATACCTCTTGATAATGTCCTCTCACAATATATCGTTAAAAATATCTTGAAATATATATAGATAAATAATTACGTGGTGAAACTAGCTAGGATTATATATACGGTGCTACTTGGTCTATAATTTTGCCCTCATCTTCTGCCCCTAAATAATTAACTTTGTTCACGCCTTCAAGATTGTTGAAAAACACGAAGTAAATAGTTAGCCTCATTTTATTTAAAAAATGATATTCCCCTTTATCGACTCATTTTGACTAAAATGATAATTATCCTCATTTTTGTTAAATAGAAATTTTAAACAATTTTTTTCACCTTTTAGTTTAATAAAAACTTTAAAAGAATTTTATTTTGTATTCAAATAATTAATAAATTTTATAAAAATGAAAATATCATTAATTATTTAATTAAATAAGACCATTAAGAACAGTATTTTTATTTTTAAAACCATTAAGAACAGTATTTTTATTTTTTAAAAATACACTTTAAATTTAATTTATTTTTTGTATTTCTTTCATATATACTTTCTCCTTATTTTATTCATTTTTTTTTTAAAATTCTCCTTGGATCTTATCTATGTACCGTTTAGTGGGTGCTTAATGTCACATGAAATTATGTAGCATTTAGTGCATTACATGCATAAGGAGTGGCATGCTCTAAAAACTCCTTATATTTCAAAAAGACTTTACACTCATAAGCAACCCAGTTGCCATAACTGAAGTTAGAAAACGCGGTTCGTGAGCAGGTCCAATTCAACTTGGAACTCAGGCATTCAAGGTCAAATATTTTGTAAATTCATTCAAGGGAAATATATTTATCATGTTGCATGAGATAAATTATCTCCAATATAAAAAATATATTTCCCTTCATTTAAACATGACTATAATTTTTATTTAACAGGTGAGCTAAATTAGTACGACTTTCTTACCCATTAAAAATTACACTTTTTACCATATAATTCCTCTGATCATGTTAAATTTTTAGATGATATGGTCATATAAATTTTTTATATCTATCTTTCTCATGATAGCATTGATGAAAAGAGACAAACACAAGGAGAGGATCCATTTAATCTCTAGTTTAAATGACTTTTATAACCAAATGACTAAAAGGATCTAAAATCTATGGCTGCTATGGCAATGTGGTGCATTTGTTTCTACACACTTGCAACAGTGGCAGATGAGAGGAGGAAAACCATGGTAAAGAGAGGAATAAGAGTTGGACAGTGAGGAAGTGGGGAGAGAAACTAAGAGAAAAATTTACAACACACTCATGTTGTGTAAAATTTAACCACGACAGAAGGAAAATGTTTACTCTCAAGATTTTTTTTAATCGCTTTTCCCTCAAAGAAAGTGTTTTTGTATGCTTTTCGAACCTATAATTCACTCGAATAAATTTCGAACTCTTTTTTTTTTTGTATATAATAAATTTCGAACTCTTGGTCTAAATGAAATGAAGAATTAGGTATTTAGAAAAAGAAAAAACAAAAATTCCACTTAAGTGAAACTCATCACTTGGTAAGGATAGCAGAGGGAGTGGAGGTTTTTTTTATGTTTTGGGGTTCGGATAAAAAATGACAGTAAACTGAGTAAAGGAAGGCACCCTAATATCATTAAGTTAGGAAGGTACAAATGCCCCTCACTAGGTATCCAGCTAGTTGGGTATATACAGTGCTACACCGCATTGGACTAGTGAAGAGCCACATAAAAGACTAATCAATATTGCAAAAGGGAGCAAAGAATTAATGTTGGAGAATATAAGCTAGAGAAGTCTCACATTGTAATAGAATAAACATGATAAGACCTTTAATTTGCGGTTTACACTGACTAGTTATATATGTTTTTGTAGATTATTCCTTATTCTTTGACACCTTCGTTCCAGTACATATTGAAAGTTTTGAAAATGTTAAGCAATATATACCAATATAACCAACAAACATTGCTTTTAAGTAGCAAGTAACTTGTTTCTCTTAAACACATGTCTTGAATTTGAGTGGTCGAACCGGATTAAATTGATCTAAATAAAAAAAATGTTAGCAATATTTATGAATAAAAGAGATCCAAAGAGAACGGAAATTTGAAGAAAGTGTAGAAATTCTAAAGTGAAAGAAACCGTGTCGTATATATCTTCTCTCCTTGTACTTGATTCTAGATTTTTTTGTTTTAATTATCCTTGGTTCTAGATAACCTGAATTGGGATATAGACGAAATATAATGTTCCCTCTCATCTTGGGACAGCAAGAGTCCAAGTCCAGCTTGAGTTCCTATTGTGTGCAAGAGATATTAGCCAGATTCCCTAGGCCATCTTACAGTTACGTACCATTTCAGCACGCTCATTTGTTTTTTCAATGTTAAGTGTCTAAAAACGAAGGATAAATAAATGCAGCAATATATTCTGTGCATGGACCAAAGTTTCTTAGAATTACCAATAGATGAAGAACAAGAAGCTTGAACATACATAAGAAACCAAACCGCCCACATATACCATTATGCCCAATGTATTCCCATATGATATCCCCCTATCCAAACCAAATATCTTCACAAAGTAAACAAAAATGAAACCAACATCAGTTCCTTTCATCAAGGATATATAGCAGCATGTACCCAGTAATTAAATCCCCTACCCCAACTAGCTAATCACGATACATTAGAAAGTAAGAAAGAAATTAAAGGATCGATATGTCATTGCATATATACATAACAAAATGAAAGACCAACTTACTCATCAACTATGGAGAACTTGCACGAAAGGGTTGGCATGGCAAGTGGCAACCACAGCGAGACAATGAGAGAAGAGGATCCGAGGTTCCTCTCAGCGCAATATATGCAATTCTCAACCTTGACATATAAAACTTAACAGGCTGAAGAGCAATATATTTGCAGGTTGCAGCTGACATGATCGCTCCGATCCAAACTCCTCTCACCTTTAGCTTTCCCATTTTTCTTACAAGTATCCCTTTTTTTCTTCTTTTTCAACAAATTTTAATGTAAGTAAACCCAACCCATTTTGACCCAAAAGAAAAAATAAAAATAAAAAACAAAAAAGTAGCAGTAATAAGACAGAAGCCTGATCAATAAAGCTAAAGAAATGACCTTAAACAAGGGGGAGACAAATTTGAAAACCATGGCTTCTTCCTTTGGGATTGTATTTTTCTAGATCAGAGAAGTAACTGATGGACCAACATTAGCTTGATCGTTCCAAACACCCATAGAAGTTGTTGTATTCCAATAAAGCGAAGGATCGTACAAGCCCACATGCTCGATCTGGTTTTGGAAAACACCATTCCATTCCAACCTGTTTTGTCCTTCTACTTTCACGTCTTTTAAAGCCATCATCCCTGACTCACCACCGCTATTTCTTGCCATTTGCAGCTGCTCTATTGGTGTTAAGCCCTGGAAAGCGTTGTTACCAGCTGAACCATCTTTAACTCCACCATTGACGAATTTTTGTTGCAGTAGAGTAGAGCTCAACAGGGAAGGCATAACTGTTGTACTAGATGTAGAAGTTGAAGAAGAAGAGCTAAAGATGGAATTATAACCAGAAAGAAGCGTATTATTTGAAGTGAAACCATTCCTATTATAACCATTATCACTAGTTTCACAGGACGAAAAACCTACTCCGAGGGCATTCATCTGCGGCTGAAGATCATACACAGAACTAGATATTCTGGAATTAAACCTTTGGAATGGAAGATTCAAATCGCAAGAGTTATTGGGTAATCCATAAAAGAAAGGATTGATATGATTTGAGGTTGAAGCAGTGTCGATCTGGGGTTGTGAAGGATGGTTTGAGGTGGCAGTAGGAGAAGAAGCTGCGTCAATGGCGGAGGAGGTGTTTGGTCTCTTGACACGCTTGTTTTTTCTGCAACCGCCGCCGACAGGGACATTCCTGAGGGTTCCACCTCTTGTCCAATATCGCTTGCAGGCTTTGCAGAAGTGTCTTGGCTGAGATAAACTATAGTTGTTGTAGTAACAGAACTTTGTGTTTGATGAATCACAACGAGGGCACTTGAGGGCTTGTTGTTGCTGCTGCAGAAGCTCTTGACCTGGTTTTTCCATTACCCTCCCACCACCTGATGAGGAAGCCATCGAGTCCTTATTATGATCATCTATCTGACTCTACACCAAGTGAAAAAAAGAAAAAAGAAAAAAGAAGAAGAAAAGGATAATTAGGAAAATAAAAATAAAAAAGAAAGAGAAAGATCCAGTTTAAGTTAGCGTTCTAGGGTATATGATAACAACACAGTGTAGATATTCTCTTCCAAAAGCTAAGCAACAAAATTGGACTGCTCATGTATTTGTCTAATAATTGTGTTTGTGTGTGTGTGTTTGTGTGTGTGTGAGAGAGAGAGAGAGATGAACCTGTGGCCATTGGTTAGTGGTTGGAGGAATGAATACCATTTCCTCACAGTTACCCAACATTTTGCTCTCTCAAAGGAATCCTTCAAACAAACAGTTAACAGACAAAGAGCAGGTGGCGACGGGTTTCAAATAGTACGCGAATTTTGACAGAGAGAGTCAGAGACTGAGAAATTAATGAAGGGGTCGATCACCATAATAGGCTGAGCTTATATAATTAACTATATAATAACGATAATGTATATTAAAATTGTATAGTTTCAATGTACCCCCTTCATAAAATAAAATAAAATATATTGTATAGTTTCACGTGACGAGTCTGGTTTAAAATCAGAATTTGGATGATTATTATAATGAGATTGGAATATATAAGAAGCACATTTGAAATCCAAGAAGAGGACAGAGAGATAAAGCAGATTTATGGGGATGAATCTTGAGCGGTTCAATAAAGAAAAGCGAGAACCACAATATAATTATAAACATTGATACACCCAGAGTTACGCACATTACTACATAACATAACATTCCTTCGTACTAGTACAAATCTACAGAGAATCGGATAAATAGGTTCCCAGAGGGAATCCCTAAGAGCCCAATGCCCGATGCAGTCTATAATAGCAAATCCCACTTCCATTTTACTCTAATTAAGTATTAATTTCTGTAGTAATTTTAATCGATAATGCAACAGTTAGATATTTTTTTAATGTTTTAAATAGTTGTATTTCTCTTTGGGCGAGAAGAACATTGATGTGAAATCTCAACTTGACTAAAATATGAGACAATATGTAATTTGCTTTAACCAAACATATAGATAAATAAGTACCTAAACATGAGTATATTAAGCAACAAAGATGCTTTCTCTTTTTTACTGGTTGAGACAAATTAAGAAATATAGAATGGTAAGGAACAGAAGAGTGAGAACTATATATTTGTGTTATTACGAACTAAAAGCTCCAAATGAAAGGGACAAAAAGCCACCATGTGGATGTCTATATCTCAAGACTCGAACATAGGAAGACCACGCTTTGCTGTTAAGAGCCGCTTGCTATGCTTGTTCTCTCTTCTCTCACTCATAATTTGGCCACGATTATTTTTGTTTTTTCTTAGGAATTTTTTATTTACTAATTAGAGTCCTTAAAATATTAATTAAAAATACAATTTTATAAAAATTATTAAATAAAAATATTTAATACTCCTTAATTAATATTATACTGCTGCTTGGTAAAAATTCTTAATTTTTTATTTATTAAAAACAGTAAACCGTTAATGGGATGTCAGAAGGAGGGACAGAGAAAGGGAGAAACCGTGGAGCCTTGAGGTGCAGAAGCATGTGGTGGCAGCTCAGCTTCTAAGGAAAAAGAATAAAAGAGAAAAAGCAAAGCACAGATGGGAAACAAATGGATTTTGTAGTCTCCCAAGGGATCTTCTACTCCTCTTAACTTCCCATCATTATTCCTCGGCAGTTCAATTCTATTTTAAACCTCGATTTTCGTTAATTAAAATATTACATTCTTCATTTTAACTAAAACATGTAAGATTTTAGAGGATGTTTGATAGAAGAGAAATTTTATTTTATTTGAGAATTACAATTTTTAGGAATAAAAATGAATTTTTAAAAATGTTATCAAAAAATTGTTCGGCTAATTTTATTCATACTATTAGGGGTGTTTGCGGTCTGGATTGGATCAATTTTGAAAGCAAAAATCATCTGATCCAATCCCTTCGGTTTGATCATGTAATCATCCATTCGATTTGAATTTTTTTTCAAATCCGATCTGATCCAATCCAATTTTTTTCGGTTTGCATTGGATCGATTTTCGATTTTTTAAAAATCCAAAAATTGTTTTGATTATTGTGCAAATAACATCTTTTGTATATGTTAATTTTGTAAAAAAAAATTGAAATACAAAAGTATCAATAAATGATAATATAGTTTTTTTTGCAATGAGATATGAAGCTCTACACAGATGACATTTTGTGTTGATGAGACGTGATCTGGTTTTTTCTTGAGTTTAGTTGATGGGTTAATAGGTTTTGAGTTTAGAAAATTTTTGGCAATGACTGGGAAAAGACCCAAGTAGGTAGAGGGGAATTAATATATTTGATCGGTTTGGATTAGATCAGTTTTCATCAACCGATCCAAAAACTGATCCAATCCAATTAAAATTTACGATTTTTTTCGATTTTCGATTTTTCGATTTTCGGCTCGGTAACCGCGGTTTAGATTTGGTTGATGAACACCCCTATATACTATGTTAGATTGTATTAAATTTTTCTTTGTCATGGAAATCTTAGAATACCACACTTTGGATGGTATTCTTGAATAGTATTTTCAAAAAAGATTATACAAAAAATAAAATTCTGAAAAAACTAGATTTCAGAAAAAAATTTAGAAATCTCATACCAAATGTGAATAAATAAAATTAACATATTCAGTTTCTTGAGAATTCTAAAAAAAACTTTCTACCAAACGACACCTTATTTTTTTTTGTAGAAAAATGTCAGCCATATAGTCGTTAAAAAAATAAGGACAGTAAAATATATATAAACATTTAAATATAAATTTACGTATATAAAAATATAATATTATCGCAAGTACATAAATTTAGACACATTATGTAATAACAATAATAATAATAATACTGTTTACTATAAGGGGGTGCGAAGAGGATCAATAATAATATAATGTTTACTATGAAGTGGGGAGGAGCGAAGTGGATTTGGGATATTGACTATGACTATTATCTTCACCAATTCAGATCGTTCTCGGCGGCTCATGGTTTAATTTAACTAGTAATATTATTGTGTTAGAAGAAACAAATTTAGACTACTTAACCCATGGTTATCCATAACAGATACATATCTTAATTTTAGGGATGTTTAACTACCTTGAAAAATCAGGTTTTTATATTTAAAGTATTTAATTATCTCTTAACTTTTAAAAAGTATAATTCTTATCATATCTGAATTTGACGTGAAGTTAGGTTTTTTCCCCCCTAATCAAAAGTCTTCTAACTGTTTCTTATTCCTTTCTATTCTTACCTTCTCCATTATTAACGATTTAGGTGAAATAAAGTGATATGAATTATATATCCAAAAAAAAAAAGTGATATCAACTATTCATCCCATCAAGAAGTAAGTAAACAAAAACTAATTTTATTTTTAAAAATAATAATATTATAATCAATTTTAAATTAATTTTGAGCTATATTCAGCTTAATATTGTACCAATTTATTTTTATGCGAGTTTATGTAACTGAGTTTTTATCTAATGCTATTTCATTAAATTTAAAATTATCTGGTAATGATTAGTCACAGTAAAAAAGAATTGTGGTTGGAGATAGAAATACTCGTTTCTATCATCTTAGTACGGTTGTCAGAAGGAATTCGAATAAAATCTTCAAGCTTAAAAATTATGGTGAGGCTTGGATTTTAGATTCTGATGAACTCAAAAACATGGATTGCAATTTCTTCAAAACTCTTTTCACTGAAGACATATGTGACAGAAGGTGGATTTCTTCAGGAAACCTTTGGCCTGATCTTTTAGAGCCGAAAAAATATTCTTTAAGCAAAGTCTCGGATGAGATGGAAATTAAACAAATAACTTTCAGCATGGGAGCATTCAAGGCTGGTATTCATGGTTTTCCTGCATTTTTCTTTCAGAAGAATTAGAATTTAATTAAATCTCAGGTATGTTCCTTAATTAATCAAATTTGGAATTATCCTGAAGTTTTAGCATCAATAAATTCTACTCTGCTGGTATTAATTCCTAAAGTCTAGAATCCGGTGAATATCAAGCAATTTAGGCCAATTTCGTTAAGTCCGGTTATTTATAAAATTATCAACAAGCTTATTGTGAGCCGTATGAAACCAATTATGCAGAAAGTAATTTCTCCTGCTCAATCTAGTTTTGTGCCCCAGCACCATATTCAAGATAATATCATTATTGTGCAAGAACTGGTTCATTCTATGAGGAGAATGCGGGGTAAGAAGTGTTTTATGGTGATTAAGGTGGATCTTGAGAAGGCTTATGATCGTTTAAATTGGAAGTTCATTCATAGAGTGCTTGATGAAATTCAGATTCCTGAAAGACTTTCAAAACTGATCATGGCAGCTGTCACATCTCCAAAAACCAAAATTATTTGGAATGGAAAGTTAACAGAGGAATTCGAACCAAGCAGAGGTCTCAGACAAGGAGACCGGGTCTCCTTTACTTGTTTGTCTTGGCAATGGAAAAGCTTTCTCATATCATTGATACAACAGTGAATGGAAATCTTTGGAAGCCAATAAGAGCTGGTAAGGGTGGTCCCAAAATATCTCACCTCTTATTTGCGGATGATTTGATGCTTTTTCTAGAAGCCAGTGAAGATCATCTTAATATCCTTTTCAGATGTTTGAATTTGTTTGGAGACATTTCTGGGCAAAAGGTGAATATTCAAGAATCTTCTATTTATTTCTCAAAGAATACTCCAAATGAGTTAGCTACAAAAATCACAGAACAGAGTGGATTCAAAAGAGTAACAAATATAGGAAGATATCTTGGAGCAATGATACATCATGGTAGAGTTACTAAAAATTTATTTGCTGGTATAGTTGGGAGAGTTAAAGAAAGATTATCTAGATGGCAATCACAGTCTCTCTCTCAGGCGGGCAGAGTGGTTCTTTCTCAATCTGTGTTGTCTACTATGCCGTATTACTTCATCCAAAGCAATATGATTCCTAAAGTTGTCTGTAATGAATTGGAACAGCTTCAAAGAGCCTTCATATGGGGTGATACAGAAAAGAAGAAACATATGCATCTTATTGGTTGGGACACAATTACAAGACCAAAAGCATATGGAGGGCTGGGGTTAAGGAAATTACAAGTCATGAATGAAGCTTTCTTGGGAAAACTAGTTTGGAATTTTGTTAATGATCCTGATCAGCTTTGGGTGAAGGTACTAAAAGCTAAGTACACAAATTCATCCAATACTCAGACTGATTTAACTTGGAAGAATGGTAATTCTCGTCTTTAGAAATTTATGTGTGATATTTGGAATAAGCTTAAACCCAAACTGGTTTGGGATGTGGGTGATGGATCTTCTGTTCTGTTTTGGGAGGACCATTGGGTGAACATTGGGGAAAAACTTGCAAACAGAGCTATTGCTCAAATTTCCCCAACAGAGGCTGGTAAGAGAATAATTGATTATATTAC